CGTATGTAAGACCGTCCTCACCAGGAAACCACACACGGAAACCTACTTGGTCATCAAAATGAATAGGATTTTCAGCAGAATAGTGAAACAGTTTCTCTCAAAAGTCGGCGATCCTATCTCATCAGATCGTATCGGTTAACCAACCGATCGCCCGATGACGCGCACAAAGGACATCGTTACAAGTAACAACTTACCTCTCTGGTCTAGCTCCAGGTCTTTGCATTCCTATAGCCTTTTAGGCTGCCCACCAGCAGACGCCGGTATCGTCAGAATATAGTCTATATAGTATCCTGGCTTTCGGTGTCAAATAATCTGTTTCCACTTCTATCTAGTGTTACAAGGGACAAAAAGGAAAATTGGCTTTCTATGGTGGCTTCTTGATCGACTCGGCACTCTCACGACTTAGAGATCTCGTTCCACCAGCCGAGGACTTCATCTGTACCTTTCATTACATGTACAGATATACTCCACCTTCCTATGTACTCACAGGGTACGAATCATGGAAAATTATCTCCACCAACGAATATGATTTAATGGAGCACATAGGAAAAGCTACTTAAAGAACTAAGTAAAAAATTGTGCTTGTGGAAATCTACAGCCGTGAGAGAGAGACAGGCCCCAAACACCACTTCAATATCGCACAAATACGTACCGCTTGGTTTCACAACGTAATGTCATACCTAGAGTATCATATGATTGGTCAATTGATGACACTAATCGATTGCATTGTATTTATAAAGGAGTTAAGTTTTAAGTTTAAAATGTAAAACATCTTATTGTTTACGTTACTACACTTTTACTAACAAATATATATGTATATATATATATAAAAATAAATATTCATATAGTGTTTTTTGTAATTTGCTGTAGTTATGTACTCTAACGTTAGACGGCAAAGCAAACACCTTGTATCGTTGAGATACAGAGTCTATAGATAAATACTTCAAGGCTTTTTTGGCATAATCTATGTTATACATATTAATAGACGATGATCGTATATCTACTTGATTCGTAAAGGACAGTGGCGAAATTTTCTGCGTGTGAAACCTCGGCCGACTAAGGGAGTGTATGCTGCGTGAAAATGCTCGATTGCTGATTTAGCTGCAAAACGAAAATTTATATTCTATTTTGCCTTTCCCGCTTTTGTCGCCTTCCTCACTAGCTTACAAAGCTCCGCAACAATAGTGGTATGGGAGTGATTTAAAACTAGCCTTTGTCGTCAAGTGCCCCAATAGGCATGACTCTTGATAATGGCAAACCAGTTATCTTTCTTATCTGCAGTGGTGCTGCTTGCTTATCTCCTATCAACATCTTTTACTTTATATATATATATATATAAATATTACCCAATTGTGTCTCTTGATTCTCTTATAGACGGTTTCGACTTTAAAGGCTGCTCTTTATGTATCCTTTTCCTGGCTGCCATTCGAACAAAAACACCTCTCTTACTTTAGTACATCAGGCTTCATTCTTTCGATGGATTCGTTTTAGAGAAAATAGGAAAAAGGAGAAAAAAATAGAAACTGGGGGTATCGTAAGGGGACCTCTTCCGAATCCGGATAACTTATGCGTATAGCCTTCAGTAAACCTGTTCTATATTATGTAACACCATTTAAAATCGAGTAAAATTGAGGACGTATCGCCGTATCATTCTTCAAAACCTCCACAAACATTTCACTTATTTGGAGTCATCTAATTTATATGTGATTAGCTCATATGATGTTAGCTCAAATAATGTTCTGTGTTCGCTTCCTGTTAGTAGAAGTTACTCTGAAACTGAACTGGTGCGGGCTAACGCGTTCGATGTCACTTAGCCTTGTTGTAGTGGTATGACGCAACGAACCCCATACGACGTCGATATGCGTCTTTTCTTTTTTAACTGCAATGAGGGTAACGCAATGCGATATCTCATTAAAATTCATAGGGATACAGTTTGATACAATCACATTTCGCAAATTGGAGTTTATATGAATAATCGTCTTCAAAATGCAATTCACAGAGCATCGATTTATCATTAATAGCCGTATGACTTCGGCATATCAAAGCTGCCAACAAAATGAAAAATGTCACACATCACCATGACTAGATAGAATTAAGTCTATATTTATGTATATTTCTATAAATAGATAAATAGGCTCACCAGTGTTGGAGCATAGAGCTGTGGGTGTTTTACGACAGTTCGCTTCTTTTGGGCCTCTCAGTCCCTCTTCTAAGCTTTTGCGCTAATCGATTTCGACAGTTTTTTCGTTTTTACGTTGGCCTTTCTTGGAGTTGGTTGAATGTGTTTTTATGTTACCCTGCTGCTATATGGATAACACGACTTCGATGGTGACAGCAAAAATTTAATGATCGACTTAACTGAGTCTTGACCTAGCGCCAGGATGAGCCCGGCCCAATTTCATTACAAAAGTACACTTTTTCACTCGAAGTAGGCACTGACTTGTCTTTAATGACAGTTAGGACGCCTTGATCACCCTATCTTCGTAATGAGTATGTATAGCATAAATTATCTCATGAAACAAATATTTCGCTGAAATACTCCGAAAGCTTCAGTCGAATTGACACTTCTAGACTATGTTTGTATCGTAAAACGAATAAAAATTTATAACTGTAATACTGGGACAGAATATTCCACATCGCATGAGCCTCCTAACAAGAAGTTACTGGAGAGTTAAAAGCGCTCCGTATATCCACAAAAAATGTATAATGGTCTACGCTTATTTAAATCGCTGTAAGCAGCTATAATAAGCTTTAGATGAGCACGCCATTAAGTCCATTTCCATTTTCGCACGCAATGTATGAGTAACGAACTAAAATAGAACTAAAAGGGAAAATAGTAATCAATTGATAAAAATGTAAAAACACCGGCTCATCAGTTACCCCTCAAGCCTATGTACATCTATTAAACTAAACTAAATCAAAATATGGTTTTACAGAACCTCTACCCCAGCGCAAAAGCTCTATGTAGAATGCTATGAAAAACTAGCACGTTAAAAAATTTGAAACTGCAACAAAGAAAAAATACAGTTACGTGATTAAAAATTGCTGTACATCGCATTTTTGACATCGTTAGTGTCATTTCTAAAGTAAGTTATGCTAAACTTCAATGTAAAACTTCCCGTTGTTTTCAGCCAGATCAAAAGGGGTGGTGTCTTTTTTTCTACCTTAGGCGTACGTATCCGTTTACTGCATAGTGCTACTCCTGCGACTAAGAGATGCTGCAAACACGCGCCTGCGTATAAGTGTAGTATATACTTCACTAGCAGATAATTACAGTCCGGCTGTATCTTTCTCATATTGTTGAGGTTAGGAATGAAGCTACAAAATTTAAGCTAATAGAAAGGCCTTGACCGGGACGCTCTGAATGACAGTAGAGTTATTTCGAATTGAAGGTGCTCAACTCAGGTTTAAGGTTCATCCATCCTGAATTCTCGAAAACCATAAGATCCACTGTGATGTCAAAAATAGATATAGACCCAAATTTATTCGATCCCATATCAAACATGACACCCAGTGAATATTCTGTCTGCAATCATCGTTCACATATCTTAAAATGCTTATATTTATGGTCTTTTGTAGAGAACTGGACGACGTTTAACAGGATCAGCATCCTGAAGATATAGTTCCTGAAATTTAATTTTAGAAGTAGAATCTTTTGATAACAGTATTTTAAAGGTAATGTTTGACTGATAGATACGTTTAATTAAAACTTTGTATATGAATTTACGTGATATTCGTTAATAGCAAAATCGTATAGATTTCCGAGTTGGAAAATTCGACTTTTAGCTCAAGTCCTAATTATGGATATATTGGAGGAAAGCAATATTGGTACATGTCCAAGAAACACCGTCTAACTGCTTCCATGGGCTATGTAGAACCTAGAAATCTATGAGATGTTGTATAGAGACAGGGAAAAAAACATCCCTAAATTGACAAATAATCATGATCATGTTTGAGGTATCGACTCGCCATGGAAAACCTGCGTATTAAGTTAAAATAGCCTTGAGAGAACAAATCTTCCACATACAGTCAATCACATTTGAAAGATGGATACTTCGAAATATAGGCATTTGCAACATTCATTCCATTACTTCTCTATCACTCAGGCTGTCATAATTTGCTAATAATCCGGTAGCTTTGTTGTTTGATATTTTGTATAAAATGTATAATTGTACATGTACATTTGTGCTCAGATCAACGTCTGTTCTTTACCCTGAAGGCCAACAAGCGTATTTACTCATGTTTCAATGTTAACTCTATTATAACGTCATATTAGTCCGCAATACACTTATAAATTGTCTTTGCCCTTTTGACGAATTTGCTCCTCTACCTAGGTTGGACAAAAATTGAGGTGCACGCGCTAATAGTTTGCTCTTGCCTAACGTTTAATGTTCGAGGGTATTTCCGCAACACGAAACGCAGAACGATACAAACAAATTTGGCTTTATCTAAACAAGACTATTAACGGATAAAAACGGTTGCCTCCTAAGCCAAGCCGATTTAAAAGTACTAGAAGCTGATTCAAATGGACTGATTGTGAAGAATGGCTGGCAAATACTTACTCGCCCACCTATATCTATACCCTTTTGCTCAACTACGCGGAGAATAATAAATGACTGCATTGTAGAAAAAAATTCTGTATAATATTTTTCCTTATATGGTCATTATTTTAGTCTAACTTGTGTGATCCTTAAATATATGCTAATGCAAATCGTCGCCGCCTTTGTGTACAATGAAATGTACATTCAGGCAGATATTTTTAACCGTTAAACAAGTATACGCATTTAGCTTAATGTAGACTTTTAGTGCAAAGAAGATATCGTTATTGGAATAGACACGTTAGGGAATCGGCTGATACCTTTTTAGATTTAACAATGACGATATCGGTTATAGGAGTGCAGATCATTCCTAAAACTCTAGGAAAATTGTTTTTTAGAGAAAAACGAATTAAATAATGGGTAGTTTTAATTATTCCTTCTTTTCTTCGTTCACTTTTCCAGGAAATGCCACAGAAATAGTTACCGATGTAGAAATTAGAAGTTTTGGACCAGTTTCGGAAAATGACATGGTGAGTATCATTTTATCAAAATAATCACTACTACTCCCATTACATCTTTGTCCAAAAAGGTTCTAGATGTAAATCCGTCTTAATATGATAATGAAGGGTGGAAAAAGTACTGTTTGCATACACATACATACCCACTCACGTAGCTGTAATTATCCATGAGCCACACGCGTAACTGGTTATGAATCCATATATTTTTTCTTTGTCCTTAATTTTTATCTTTTTTCGTATGGCCCATTCTTCCAACAGCGAACAACTGCTGCTACCACTTCTGGTAGCTCGCCAAGTGGGAGCTGTCATCAATACATAGCAATACAGGATGGAAGGTACCTATTTTTCGACAATGGTATATATAGAATTTATGTAGAAAAATCTATTCATTATATTCGATGGACCAGTTATGTTCTTTCCGTTCACATCTCTATATCCCTTTGTCTTTTCCTATATCTCTTACTTTCGTTTGCAAGCCGAACGTAAACGTTACTGCTCCTGTACAATACTGGAGCATTGTAGGTGCGCCCACTCTGTGCTTACTATTCTCTCCGAATTCGCGAGCGTTTCGGTGGCCGACTGAAGCCGCGGCCGCACATGGAGTCCCTTATCTGATTTGCCATTAACAGGCAGTTCTGAAAGATTCGTTGAATTTTATAATTAATAATCACGCTCCTATATTTTGTTCATAGGAGATACGGAAAGGGCGGAACGGAGGAGGGTGAAAAGGGGCTGATGTGAACGAATATGGTAACAGCACCAACGAACGTTGAAACAAATCTATAACATCTGGTGAACATCAACGGCTGATGAGCTAGCACATGGTGTCGTATTTTTTATTTCAAAAATTAGGCGCTTCAGGACATTGACAGAAGTTAGCCAAAAAACGATGGGCCTTCGTTTATTCATTGGACCCCCATTATAGTACAGCCTGTTGATGTTTATCAGTCGACGTTTCGTTTGCGTATTGGGAAAATACCGTGAAGTAGCGGAGTTGATGGGTTTTCTTATCGGAAATCGAACCTGCCTACTTGATCAATTCCTGTTGACCTAGGACGCTTCATGGCTGGCCCACACCTTACATTCGAATGGTTGTTTTTGTTCGTAAACATTTTGCTTGTGTATCACACATCAGGTAACAACATGATGACCCGCAAAACAAAGGAACCCTTGTGGGTAAATCCTGTTTAGGCACTCTAGGAAATGCATAAACAGATATTTATAATTCGTATAATATAATTCCTTATAATATTTTCCAGTTTCCAAGCCACCTTTAAGTTTGTTCATTCTCTCTAGAAAATCTGATCTTGTACTAGATTTGGACATTTCCTCATGGGTGTATTAGTTTGATTCTCTAGTTATTGGATAAAAAGGTAATACACTATCGCGAAATCTGGCAAATATAATGGCTACAAAAAGAAATTTCCCACGTTTGCAAAGTGATTCTAACAACCTTAAACATATGGAATTTTACGTTAAAATCGATGCAACTGAGCCCTATACAAATCTCTGTTGACCGCTTTATTATTTATTTGTCGTTTTATAAAGCCCTTCCAGTCCCACAAAACGTAAATCATTTCCATGGTTGTTTTTCACCTTGTGTATAGAGTAATGGCCTAACTCTGGTATGAGACGTATGTTTCAAAACTACCCGTTCTTTTTTCTGATGTGGAGAGACCACTTCCACCGTCATCCGTGACAATTTCACATTGAAACCTTCCAGTGTTAGTGCCAAAAGCTGCCCATTGCCTGGTGCCGGACGAGATCTTGAAAAAGATAAAAGGCCGTACCCTTTCGTGCGTTCGCCCTTATTGGGCACCTAGATTCTTAATTTTTTTATAACATTTCAAACGTTCAAGGTGCTTCACAGTATCCAAGTCTTCACGGCTTACCTTCTTAAATGTATTACCCGAAGCTCTTATCGACTTAATATGGCCGATTGAGCTGCGGTATATCCTCTAGACCCAATATATCGTCTTTAAATTTTTCAAACTCCTTCAACGAATTTTTTTAATTATAGAGCTTTCTCTGTGAAAAACACAAATATGTCGGTAAGTTGCTTAAGCAATTTGTTTGGACAAACTGTTTGGGTTGATTTGTAAACGTAAAGTAGAGTAGGTCTCAAAAATACCTTTCACGTAAAAGATTTTTATCTCAAGTTTAAGCTGGACGTAAAATTTTATCTGTTATGAAATGCAAGTACAAAAAGCTTAGGGAGGAGAGAAAGAGCACGTTTGAATAATGTATAGCAGTAAGGAAAAAGTGCAAAAATTAAGGAGAAAGGGAACATTGAAGAACAACTCTTAGTTGTGTTCCAGGCTAATACATTGTCCAATAAAGCTAATCTTCGCTTGCCTTCCAGAACGTATCCGCATCAGCCATTGCAGATTTGTAGTAGAATTTTAGTTCCGAATGTTGTAAAATTGTGTATCAAACACTTTTGAATGTTCATTATTACGAAAAGTATCAAGCACTACCCTACGTCCGATACAATAGGGCTTGTAGGCCTGTATAAATGTATGAATAGTTGTCTAAAATAGCAATAGAGTGATATGACTCGTATATGATCCATTTTCCATATCGAATGTGCTCATCCTGCAGATGTACTCGATGGATTGCTATTTTCGCCAGTCGTGGCGCGACGAGCGCCTTAAATTTGAAGGATCATTGAAAAAGCTGTCGGTGAGTTGGCAGTTCTTAGAACGGATATGGACACCTGACACATATATCAATAACGGAAAATCATCCTACCTGCACAAGGTAACTGTGCCCAATAAATTCATCCGGTTGCAAAGCGATGGCACACTCAAATATTCCATGAGGTGAGTGGTCTTTTTAAACTGATGGAACTTTTACAGGTTTAGCGTCATGCTATTTGATATGTTTCTACCATTATAATAAATTTAAATATATTATGTTCATTTTGTTCATAACTGTCTTATATTAAACATGAGTGACCAAAGTATTTTCACCGAGCAATTCAAGCATAGCAAGGTATCTTAATTTTTGGCCACGTATGTGTTACTTGACATACGTAATCTACGCCTCATCGTGCTGAAAGCTGACCCGATCTCCGCCGTATAGGTACTTGATATATTTTCGATTTTAGGCCCTTATTTCTTTGCTGTGCGTTCTAGAAATACTCTATCGCCTATTATGAAGTGTTCACTGAAAAAGGTTGCTAAACTAACTATTGTGCTGTTATTTCAGACTCACGATACGGGCAAAATGTCCCATGCATCTTCGAAAGTATCCCCTCGATACACAAGCGTGTCCACTCAAGATCGGAAGCTGTAAGTAACGTGTAGCCGTATAGGAAAGCAGCGCAGCTCTCTACCTCGTACAATATGATATAACTAATAGACTATACAACTAAATCATAGTGTTTTTTTGTCTTTTCACCAGACAGACCCGCGGATTACGCCCCGTGCCTGTTTTTGCCATTGATTTAATTAATTTGATTCGTTGACGTCATGTTCAGGTTAACGTAAACTCTGGTACACAATTATGGTATCATAGTCAACATAAGGGTCATCTAGTTACAGCCACCCTTGGCCACCCGCCCCCTTTCACAGTCCATTCACCAGCCTGTTCATTTATGAACGAACATGAACTATAGTTCTATTACAGATTTACATCTTTATATTAATTTGGTTACAATTTTGCTGAAATCCTACGGCACCAATTTCGTCATCATGGCGCAATAATTCAATTAGGTACGTAAGAAGTCGCCGGCCAGTTTCAGTCTTTCTAAAACGGAAAACGAAAACAAGTTTCTGTTTTCTGAGTTTTTGTTACTGCGTCAGCCGAGACCGACATATGGAAGTCAAGTTAACTAAACAACCTCGATTATTTCGGCGTAGTTTTGAATTAGAACTCTGCACAATACGTTAATTTCACCAATCTTTTCATAAACACGACGCTTCAAATGGTGGCTTTTTTCGGCGTCGTTTTATAGATTCTCCTTTTCGCAAAGCCCCACAGGGAAAATAAAGAGAAATGAAATCACAGGAACTGGACGACCGTTCAATGTCGCTGCGGCGGATCGAGATCTGCCGGCCTCAGAACATAATTTTAAATAGATTCATTGTTTCCTCCTCTGTGAAGCATGCTCCATCTTGTTAAGATCACAAGTTGCTTACAATACGCTTTGATAATGCTCGCTGTTGACTATTGTTGTGCATATTGTCGCTTTTTAAAAAAGTCTAATAGAAATTTCTGTACAAGCCGCACCGCACAGTGATTTATTGTCCATAAAGTTCTTGCTTAACACCTACTTCTAGGATTTCTACCCTTCAAATATGACAATTCTATTTATCCATCCGAGATTTATAATATCATTAAAGAGTCCGCCAGCACGTGCGTTAGACGTTAACACGTGATCAGCGAGGGAACGACGTTTGTGACGGCCCTTAATTTTTAATGGCTGGGTCAACTACAACTTTTAATAATGACGATGCAATTATTCGTTCAAAATGGGCTAAATTGTTAAGCACGTCGTCATGTTAGGGTGACTGGGCCGGCACTGCTCCTCACTGTAGCGCTGTTGTGACTTGGTCGTTCGGCGATCTTCCTGACCTTGTATTATTTACTAGTCAACTAGTCGGCTTAAATTTATTAATCATTTGCCTTTGCGAAGTGTCATAGTTCTCTCTTTCGACAGTAAATTTTACGAAAAGAAACGCTGTTCTAAATTTCAGTTGTCCAACATTACAAACCGCACGCGCTGCTGCGTTTCGCGCTAGACCGTCTGCTAACCCTTACTTGTTTGCAGACAAAAGCGGAGAGGGACCACAACTACGGCCAGCAACTTCTTACACGCGCTTTATTTACCCGAGCCTATTCTAATATTTTATCTGTACCATACGTAACGCTACTATTCCTTGACTGCAGACTGATACCTTTATAAACGTTGTAACACCTAATTGTTATAATTTTTTTCTATTCCATATTAGTGATTCAGTTACCTCGGTGCACCTGTTGCATAATCCTGTTCCAGTAATCATAAGCAATAACCGCGTTAATTTGCTATAATGTAATTATTTCTTCAATGCAATACATATGTTGACCACTACTTGCAAAATCAACTATACACCTATAGTTTAACTGTAGCGGTCCGAGGCCTTATCTAGCCGGGACGCCTTACAGTTAGTCCTAGCGGAACGTTGTTGCAAGTAAAAAAAAAAAAGTATTTATCCGTCGAAGAAAATCAACCAGTTCGCAAATGTAGCTAATTGTTTCTCATTGGAAACATAGGCTACAAAAGTATTCATCCAGCTAGTGAATATGGTTAATATATGGTTCATGTCTTTTCAATTATGCGATATTTCAGTAAAAATCGCCGTCCTGCCCCTCATTAGTAGAAACGAATGGAAATTTACTACCGTACCTATTTTGTATTGGTTTAAAGAGCACAGAACTTTTCAATGTACACATTTCGCAACGTCCGCCCATATCGTAAAAGAGCTCCATTTTGAAAAATTAGGATCACGCTTTAGGCGAAAACAAACTTTTTCCCTGAAAAAGTGTTTACCTTATCATTTTAAGCCTCCATCCGGATTCCCATTTATTTAACCAATTCGATCCAATTATATCTTATAGCATAAAATAATATATAGTGTCCCGCACAATTATCCAGCTTTTTCCAAGCTGTTACCGTCTTGCAATTATCTCATCTACCTGTTCCAAGATACATCAACTTAATTTGCGTCATACCTAGCTGAACATAAATTATAGTTTCATTACAGATCATTACATCGCGATTCTCCTAAAATTCTGCAGTACTCGATTGAAAACTGCCATCGATTTGTAACCATTAGGTTGTAGTGCTGTAAGACGCTGTTCTAACCCCTGTCCTATATATCAATAGTAACCATTTTTTTTTTATTTAGTCAATTTCCTACCCTGTTGATCCCATTAGCTCGGCGTAAATTAACATTACGCCTCGTATGGAAGAAAAGATAACGTTCGGAAGAAGTATTCGCTTATCCGAAGAACGTGAAATAGGGTAGTTCATATTTCTGAATGATCATTTTAGCGTGAAGGCAAAAGAAAGAGAAATGATATTAAAAATTTCTTTTAAGTTGAATCTTGCGCTTATATTATATAGCTTAAAAAGGCAAATATTTTTTTCGATTTAAATAGCGATTAAATTCGCACACCTATAAAAAAATAAACTGAACTGTTATAAATTGCTTTAGGCAAAATAACTATTTTTTTTGCCAAGCAGAAAAACATCAAAACTATATAGGTCCAATATGGCGTTCATTTCGTTAAGCTTGAAAATCCAAATAGAGTGCCGATCTAAGGCCTTTGCAAATTTTTAGCAGTTATAAAGCAACCAACAGAAATACAATTTGCCCAAATTGCGTTTCGTTTGAAAAAGGAATCATTCTTACAAAAAAAATATTTACACACTGCAAAAAAAGGACTGAACTAGTTCATTTGCCATTAATTATGGACCCTTTCAACGATAATCATCAATTTATCACAAAACCTCAGAAAATGTGAAAAATCGTTTTTTTTTTTTTTTTTTTTAATTCAGCATTGCGCCTATTTTATATAGCTTGAGAAAACAAACAATTAGCCAATATAAGCTTTTCATATTCGTAACAATTGTCGAGTAAATTACACATATACATATATATGTATATGTGTAATATGTAAATATTACACATATATGCATACGTGTAATACGACTCAATAGCGGCGCCTATGTATATGTTTGTTTTAAATTTTGGCGCGGTCCTTCTCTGAACTGTTCGGCGTTCACAAGCATACCTGATGATGTTTTTTCATCACCTTGACCATAACCATATGCATTTATTTTTTGCTATGGCAAAAAAGAAGGCGAAAAATTGGTATCGGAAGTGTCAAAAAGGTTTTAATAACAATTTTCAGCTCCACGAAGAAAATTAAACCTCAACTAACATAGATAACTCATAATATTTGGAAGATCTTGAGAAATATTCATGCAGCTGTAAGTTGATTGGCCTTTAATAGTAAACAATTTAACGCAAGATGCAGAAGTCTCAAAATAAACCCATGAATGGCTCATATCTATGGCTAGCTTGATATTGTACTGAGGAACCTATCTTCTACGCCAATGGAGGAGGAAGACCGTAGAAAGCCAAACAAATTACTTTAGCAGAGCGGGTCTATTTGTTGCAAGTAATTAAAGTAAGTTAAATAGAAAAAACACTAATTGGAACCTATAATCCGCAAGTATGTTTGCTTTCAAAATGTAGACAGCTAATAAAAGAAACTAGCCAATAGTAAAAATGGTTTCGTGGCAGTACTTTTTGTGCAAAAGTAATTTTAGTACCCCGTGACGAATGGTTGTTTTTTACTAAGCCACAGGGTTGAAAATGGCGGAAATTCAGAAACTTCTATAAAATTATCTGTTTCTGCTCGACTAACAGACAGAATGTCTGTGGAACAGCCTATTTTGTCAAGCAGAAGTTGAGGCAACTCTGCGCGCAATAAACAATCCCGTCGTTGCCTTTCACGAAATTCTTTATTCTGGGCTTCGTTAGACGCTTGGTCTTTCGCACTTCTATTTTGTGTTGCTAGCTATACTTTGTCGATATCGCATAGATTTATATCGGACGTGAGTGCCTCGCGTCTCATAGCCTACATTTTGCCAGGACTGCTTTTGATAGGATTTCAATTGTGATCGAAGTAGTTATTTCTACAAAGCGAGTTGGTAATATTAGCTGAAGAGGGCGTTGGTAAATTAGGTTAAAGCCCCCCCAGCGATGCTAAATTCGGTTTACCAATGGCAGATTTGTACCTACTTTAGTAGGTAAATAACGCATCTATCTACTATATACTCCAGTATATTTGATTCAATGGAATAAAATCACACTCTGAAAGCATACGTTCGTTGCAGCGCTAGCTGTAGATTGCAGAAAATACTCCTTTAGAATAGGACCATGCTAGCTAGCTGTTGCTCGTATCCATTTGCTGGGTGTTCATCTCCACAGGAATATCTACCTCCCGAAATGCTGCTCAATCACCTAATAACGATCTATCACAGTATAGTCTTCTGCGTAAATGTCCTGGCGCGCAAAACTTGGTCCAAACGCTTAATAGCCATACTACACGTGCTTATGCTGTTAGCATCTCAAATAAAGTAATTTCAAAATACAATAATTTTGCATCACGAAGGCGGAGATCAAAGGTTAATTGTTCCTTAAAAATCTAAATGTTTTTAATGCTATTCGTTGTAACCTATTTATGCTTGCAGATGCATACTCGCCAAAAGATGTAGTATTTCGTTGGAATGGCGGGAGCCCCGTGGTAATTTCAAAAGACGTTACCCTTTCCCAGTATGAGTTCGTCGATATTCTTAGCGACGATCTTACAGTTCAATTACCCAACGGAGGTATGTGCAGGATACGAACTAATCCCATATAGGTATGAAATCTCCTTCACGACCTTTGCGCCGTGTTCTTTCTTTCGAAAGGGCACATTTCATGTGCAACATAATATCGGTTAGAATACATGTTCTTACTACCCCCTTGTATTATATACGACTGTATAGTTTTTCTTCCGTATGCTGCTTTCCGTATTGCACTGCCGATGCATAGATCTTATCTAAGACTTACATTCCACATTTTCGTTTAACGTCCTAAATACTGACAAAACGGCCGTGCCTGCATTTTTCTGACTCTACATGGTTTATTTCATTTCATTCTGTCTTGTATAGCCGAAAAAGCTCATATTTTAGGTAATCGTATCAAGGAGCATAGTACCAATTTACAAGACACAGTGAACTGGTTCATTTTTCAATCGTCAATCTAGATAAATTTTTTGTTTTCAATTTTTTTTGAGAGCGGGCGAGCAATATTTGGTGGGATAGTCCTACGTGGCAGCTTCAAATAAAGCTAAATGTGATTAGATCAATTAAAAACTTTCCATAGATGTTTAGCAACATGTAGTAGCATAACGCATGTTTCAGCTCTAGCATGTTAATGTTCTTACATATTATTTGTACATTTTTAGAAACACGGTCAACCCTTGTAACTCGGTTCATACTTCGCCGCCGACGTGGCTACTTTATTCTCCAGATTTACGCGCCCTGTTCGATGATCGTCGGAGCCTCGTGGGTCGCATTCTGGATCAATCGTAACGACGCTGCCGGTCGGGTTGCCGTAGGTAAGTATTGAGTAAATACGTTTGCGATCCATGCAAAAAACGTCATTGATCGTTATTTTGTTAAAAGTAAATACATTATTTGAAACTTCATAACGGTAGTTTAATAAAAACGCTATGAACTAGGATTTGAGAGCTTTCATTTTGACCTGCTGGACATGTTTACTTTTAAGGAATTTTCTTATATCATTTTAGTCAATTCGAAAATCTTAATTTTTCGAAAAAAAAAAAATATTAATCATGAAGGGTTTGAATAATACGATTCGATTATTTACGCAAGTAATACAGATAAATATTGTGAATTGACAATAGGTGTACCAAAATGTCTTGAAGGTACTGCGGACCCGGCTTAGTCTTCAAAAATCAGAACTTTCAAGTAAATGCATTATTTCGTATTTTCTAACATCGGGGGCCACATAGATGACTGCACACCGACTGAGGCGTCACCGTATAAATAGATAACGACTGTGTTTATCGTCTCTATTAGGATATTTAGTGTTCTGCTATCAATGCGTTCTTCTTTTTCTATTTATGTATACGTAATCAATCTGGGTTACGGCCAGGAGTAAAGGACTTCCGTCCTTTCCCGAACAGCTTGGTCATTTGTGGTATTACTGTAATTGCAGATTAATATGACCGTTTTTGTCTTCCGGTGTCTTGGTATAACCAGCGTATATAGCACCAATAATTGTTCTTACGACAAATAAGAATTTCTAAGCTCTATTTTATAGCATCATATATCTTACCCAAGCAAGTACGTAGAGATATTGTGCACATTGGAAAAAAAGTAATTTTCGAAGGGTTGATTTGGGCTTGCATTGCGAGCGATTCTTGCCCTTTCCGCAACAAAATTGTAGTCATTTCGAAGGTATGTTTTGCGATCATCAAAGGAAGTTATTTATATCCGATGAAGTTTTACGTCGTTATGTAATTTGCGGGCTTACGTAATTAACTTTCTTACTTTTTTAGTTATTTTTAAAATTTTTATTTAGTTGTATTTATTTAGTTATAACTTTCCTAGTTTTTCCTACTATTTGTGATTTTGAATTTAAGTAAACTAAAATCTTGAACTGTACGAAAAACATTGTACTTGTGAAACATAATAGGACTGAGATACTATACCGACTAATACAACAATAGATTATATGCATATAATGTTGGTCAATGTATGTCACGGATATGCTCTGTTTAGCTTATTAGACGCCCATACGTTCCTGACACGCGCGCTGGCCTGCATATTTTCAAAGAACGACCACAGCAGATCGGAGCAAATCATATAGATACACATATATATGACGAACTTGTTTCGTTACGAGATGAAAGATGTAACCTGCTTCTAAGACGAGGACAACACAGGCAAAAATAGGATCGGAAAGGTCAGCGTACGATGGGTAGGGCGAGAAAGGAGATTCGAGAGAGATGTGTGGTGAGTCTGGACGCCGTAGTAATCTTGTATGCTCTAAGACTCCTCCGTCATTGCGTCCGAACGACGAGTGATACATATTCACGCTCCGTTTCCCATCGTTTCTTCGTATGTACATATTTCATTGAATGAGTTAATGTTGAGGCAATCTTAAACTCGTTAACGATCTGCCGCACTCCTTGGGTGTTCGCTGGTCGTCCCTGCTCCTTTTCTGATCCACCTCGCCGCGTCCCTTCAGCCACTAAGCCAAGAAACCTTCAAACATTCAGTATGGCATCTGCACCAATGTTACCTTCGCTCACGCCTCTAGACATGACCCTATGCGCCAGCATCAATTGTTCGACAGACGATCAAACGGACAGACAAGCTGGATGGACACATAACAACTGCGTTTAAAAACACGACCCGGGTCAGCAAGCGGTGCCTGCACACGAATTTGAGCGTGCCCAATTTGCTCATTACTCTCGATTTACCGTTTAAACCACTGGTATGCATAAATCTATACATGCATAGAAAAAGACTCATTATCTTTCAGTAAACATTCATTCCCGTTCTACAGACTGTGTATTCATCGAGCTTTTAAAGGGTTGAAAAACTTGCTATTCCAGTCGTATAAAATGGAATAACAATATTTATAGCAAGTGCCTTTTGATCCTCTACATATTGGAGCTAGCCTTCTAAGAGTTTCTCTACAACTGTATGCCTGCAACTTGTATTACTTCATTATGGGTGGCTTGTTCGATAGACGTGGTACGCCACGCGTCGCCCTTTTTAAGCTATAGAAGCACTCTAAATCACACAGATTTAAGTCTCAAGAAATATGAAAGTTAAGGCCTTCGCTCAAGTCTCTTCTGCTGGGGGCGACTAGATGGTGTGTCATTGTTAAGTAATCGCGCAGTCTACTATCGACTGTCATACCATATATCTACAAGGCTTTTTATGAATTTGAAGTATCTGGCAGTATAGACTGTTTCCCTTTTAAATAATATTTTGCAATAACAAACGCCTTTAATATTTATTGCTAATATTACTATCAGCTTAGTCTTGACTGTATCAGTTACTGTCTTCTTTTCTGCTGAATTTTCGTTCTCTCACATGATATTGCTTTGTTGGAGCCGTGCCTTCTCTACAAATGATATGCTCTAGGTGTCTGTTTTACTAATAGTGGTTGTGCTAAGATTTTCTACATTGCACAATGCGTATTTCCACCAGTCTTGAGTTCAATTCGTAAGGAGCCTATATGTTACTTCCTTTCTACATAGGTGTTTTTGCGTTTCGAAAAATCTCGAATTCAGCCTAAGGCAAACATTTGCCCATTAAAAATTTCCATAGTCCGTTTGACGTGCTGATGCGTAGTCACTGTGCTGTTCAATGTTTTTATTTGCGTCTTTAAAATTACTGCATTAGATACGGACTGTTCGTCCTCAGCTCACGTTTATTATAATACGCAGTCAGTTCATAGCCGTAGATAGCCAAAGCCTTAATATAGATACTTTTCCAATATTGTCTCTCTAATGGTTTGAAACCTTTCGACCCACTAAATAGGCCCACACAAGTTGACATAATATACTTAAATTCGAAGCATTGCTAGTCGAACGTGTGTGTGTGTCTCTCCGTGCGTTTAACACACGCAGAGGCATACTCCTATTACGTAATTAGTGCGAATATGTCAGGGGTCGACAAATCTTACCGTTTTTAGGCCCTGCGTCTGCCTGATGGTCTTCTGCCAATGGTGGTGCCGCCTACAACATGCGGACCGAGTTTCAGTAGTTGGTAAAAGTGCCGAAGCGGCATGCAGCTTAAAAGACGAAGAAAAACAACTGAAAAAGCTTAGCAATAATGTCACCAGAGATAAAGAAACAGACTGCATTTCTACACACTATGTTTTGGCCCAGCTGTGACCACCTGGCGAACAGAACTTTTGGGAAGTTGTCAGTTAAATGTTATTCAGTGTTACCTAGACTTTTTGAAAGTCTGGCTGGACAATCGTAGCAGACCCAGAGATGTGTTTGTTGGTAATAACACATCGATCTCCTTTATGTGGCCTAACTATTAACTGAAAACAGAGCTACGCAACAATATCGAATTGCTCTGCAGTAAGCAGTCGTAAAGAATTTTCGAGCTGCAGTGCAAAAGTTTCGCTAAGGTACATGTTAACGTCTGCGGCTGTACTTGCAACCAATTAACTTATGTACAATACAAGAAGGAGCGGAATAAGAAGCCAGAAATGAACTGTCGTCATTAAGCCATTATAGGTTAAGCCACTCTGGGTTGGCCAGGATCTTTGAATTGACTGCCATGGCTATACGGACCACGCATGTACAGCTGTGGTATGACAGAACTGAGTGAGTGATCGCGGGCTTGTAGATATCATATCTGTGTGCGTTTCAGGTGCCACCACGGTACTTACTTTAGTAACGATGGGCTTTGGAGGTCGGGCATCGTTGCCTAAGGTAAACTATGCTACGGCGCTCGACTGGTTCGTAGTGATGTGCTTCTCCTTTGTGTTTGCTGCTTTGGTCGAATACGCCTGTGTCAACTACATTGAAAGGTGCGTTCTAGGTAGCAGGCTACTGATCGTTTGCGTTCTTAGTCACTAACCCAGTGTGTATGTATGTATGTTTGTTTGTTTATTGGTGTCGTTCGACGTTGTCTTCTTGTGTCCTCGACTACCTTGGTGTCTTTGTGGCGGCACCTGTGCGACATCCGTGTGCCTGCTCCATTTTTACTCTACACTTTCAGGTTCAATGACTGTGCTTACTTTAGTAACGATGGGCTTCGGAGGACGGGCATCGTTGCCTAGAGTAAACTATGCCACTGCTCTCGACTGGTTCGTAGTGATGTGTTTCACGTTCGTGTTCACGGCCCTAGTTGAGTACGCGTGTGTGAACTACATTGAAAGGTTAGTCCGAGTCGGCAGACGTTCCGCTAACCCGCTCCCACAACGACAAGATAGTCAAAGAAAAATGCTAAAAAGCAACCATATATATTCGTGTATGTATTGTCGCCTCTTGCTGGATTATGGGCGATTGGTGCTTAGTCGACAGCGTCTTGAAACACCTACTACCGTGTTGATTGGATACTTTCAAGGGCCTGATGTAGAACCGTGGCCTGTTTTGCTTTGTCAAAAGTCGTACTGGCTCGCTGAGAATGAAAAAAAAAAGAGAAATACTTGACTAAAAAGCAAAATAAAAAGAAGCAGCAAAACAAATTCGTACGCGGAAACCATCTAAGTACAAACGAAAGGAGGCCAATGCACAGCCAGCTATAGGCGCATTTCGATGCTTTCCGTTGATCGCGATTTCTTTCTTTTCAAACTATAAGGGCAACTACTAGCTAGGGATAACACTCGCAGAAGCGGTCGGTCGTGCATGTTTCGATCCGTCTGTACAGATGCGCTCTAAATCTGGTTTGCGCATCGCAGCAGCTAGCAGAAATGGCAGAAAGCAGCATTAGCAAATCAAAAACGCTACCTCTGCTTGTTCCATTGTGGCCCCGTAGTGTGCCTGCACGCAATGCACGTCTCGACCCCCAATTGCCCTCCGCCCACGAGAGGCTGCCTCGCACCCCTCTATTCGACGCATCTGGATATCATCATCGCGTACCACCGCTTAACTTGACGACTTTTATTGCTTCACTATTACCATTACTAGCGCCAGAACTAACGGACGGCCTCGCCTGTAACGGGTGATATAATACCGGCCAGTACTGTAAATGCGCGACAGTGTAACACAAACGAACTTTGTTACTGATTACCACCCATCTGGTAAAATCACAGACCATACTGTATATGAAGCTGGATCGTGCGCTTATATAAAGATAACTGTATAGCATAATGAACCGATCGACCTACGGTCTCCTGGCTCTTGACGCACATCACACGTAAAGTCGTAGCAGGATGGCATCGTTCTTGTTGAGGTATAAGCTCACGTCTTTCCTAAAGAAAAATGAGGACCAAGAGAAGATGTGCGCTTGGGTGTTCTGGGCCTGAGGAATCGTCGCGTGTTATCCCTTGCTCAGTTGGTCTAGAAAGAGAAAATTTAAAGGGAAACATGACATGCAAGACAAGTCCAAGTGCTTCCGCAGCAGAACTCTATTTCTACATATGTGTTTGCGTGCACCCTTAGGTCTTGTAGAGTTTCGCTTCTTTTCGCTTACTATAGCATCGTTCCTGTAACGCACCACTAGCGCAGGAGATAAACGATCGCACATAATTTATCATAGCAAACACGTGTAGCAGACATCGATTGCAGGAAGAACCCTCATTTCGAACTGTTCAAGTTCTCCTAGGTAATTCCAGGTTTGCGTACTGGTTTTCTTGATGAATAGTTAACCTACACAACTCTACTAAATACACTAGACGACAACATCGTATCTCCTTTCTACTGCGGCTAGACTGAGCGATCATAAGCGCAATACGTGCACACTCGTTACAAGCACAGAGTAACACATTGTTCTACTGGAGTGGCGATTTACATAGGCCCATATATATATATATATATATTGTTACGACGACAATAATTTCTTTCTATTCTAGTTGTACATGAATAACCGGAATAGTTTACAAGCGCAGAGAGTTATATGTAATACAGCGTCCTTGCAAGGCTGAAGAGTCCGCTCATAACTCTAATAACAGAAATCACTAGGGCAAAGTTCTTGTTCGTAAACATTCATTTTCTAGCTGGACGGTAATCTTCATTTAGGTTATTTTGGCATTGCAAAACAAACTCTATTGATCGCAGTATTAGGAAATAAGCAAAATAGGAATGTCAATGCAAATAGACCTATTCTGTTTGTTATGGCTAAAATGTAATGTGTAAATAATATGCACACACGTTATATATATAAACAAGCGAATTTCGTACTTGAAGCACATTTAATATCGTGTTCTCTGTCAATGGATGGTACCCGAAGTGACGCGATAGCACAGCGGCAGTATTCATGTGGGTAGCGCCAGGCTCATAGCCATGAGATGCTAAATATGATTCTCAAGAGAGACTTTTTCACTCAACGAATTAATTCTTTATGTAGTCGTAGTCGGTCTTTACAACATTTTCCCAATGAATATTCTACTATTTTGTCAAAAACAATCAGATCTGACGTTGAGAAACTTATCCGGCTGGTTTTTCTGACCCGTTTTGTTGTATTGTATGTAATTTATTTTGCCCTTAACCGGAAAGGTTGGTAATCCGTCAGCTCGACGTCTAGGGACTACGGTGGACGTTAAAAGCTCCCACTCAAGCCTTTGAAGAGCGGCTTTAACGATCTTTACCGTATGTGGTCTGGAATTGTCGTGGCAAAAGTTAGTTCTACATTGCCAATCAGATTTTTTAATTAGCCTCATTTCTCGGACTTATTTGGTCCATACGCAGGTCCTGGTTAACCATTTTGTTTCCCTCAAGAATTTTCGAGTATAACGGATTCTTCCAGCACCGCCAAAAGGAAAGCAATGTCTTTTTCGTGAAAATCTGAGTTTATCCTGCCTAGACGTATATCCTGAGGACACCAGTTCTTTCGTCTTGGAAAAATTAAGCGTAGGAACCTGTTATTATGACTGCATGCTGTTTTGTATTTAGCAATATGTTGAAAGTGATCGAGACCGTGGTATAATTTCGCTCCTCGCACGACTTACAACCTTGATTTGCTGCTGCTAGTTGAATGGATCCAGTTTATCTTCTCGGCTAGTTAACGCCATTTCAAATACCCGTAGAGCTCGTTGCGGTGCATCTTCCAAGCCCAACATGCCACCGTAAAACTTACCAAGTCACCTTCGAATAATTTTGTCACGTAGTTAATTCTCGCCGTATTCGACCTGAACGTACTGGACTGTTTCAATAGTTTTTTTTCCTTGGCAAAAGGCGAAATAAGAAGCATCGTGGTTGCTCTATTTTGCCAAGAAGAAAAAGATCCGGACCCGAAAAGTACGAAGGCAGAAATGCTTTTTTAATCTTTCCTAGTGTGCTTAGAGAGCATATTCATTTTCGTGTTAGCGTGTGCATGTTCACAGTTAGTAGAATTTTAAAGACCCACAAGTCTGTTTTGGGCAGGTGGTATTTCTTACAATGTGATAATTTCACTAGCCGGAACATTTGATTTTTGTGTGCTCCCTTTGAAAGTACAAAGATGTGCATCTACTCTTTCGATGCGCATTCGTTGTGCCGTTGGAATACAATTTGCTATTAAGCTAGATGTACATTTTGCTGTTTGCCGATATGTACGCGACGTACTTTTTCAGGTATTTTGAATTCTGCCGTAGCCCATAGATACGGTGACAGAAGGTCGACTGCAGGAGCTTTCAAACAAGAGCAGTATAGGTAACATTCTTCTCTTAATAGAAAAACGTTTGACTGCATTTCTTACAAGCGAAGTTATTGAGCAGATCGCATCAGGTGCACTTCATCCAGTTGTCTCCATTCAGTAATTGTCCTCATTTTACTAAAATGAATCTTTAGGTCATCAAATTAATGCTGAAGACGGTTAAATACCGATCAGACTGCTTGTTTCATATGCTCTGGCTGCGTGGGAACTTTGGAGGTACCCGTTGGTGTAGTTGGTCATTTATTAGCCGCCTGGATATAATCGATTGACGATACGTGTTTGAGGTTTGTGACGAATATAACTACCGCTTAGCACCGTACACTAACTAAGTGCACAGTAGTTACCTATCTATACCATAGTATTTTTGCATGAACTGCATACTGCCTTTGTGTATTTTCCCGCTAAATTATTTACTGACAATTGTTCTCATAACATACGCACGTGTATCGCTCGTCGATGAGTTTGTTTGGATTGTGTTGTCTTAAGATAGAAACACGAGATAGTGTATGAGGAAGTACGCAATCGAGAAATTTGCCTTATGTATACAGGGCTTACTTCAGCTATTGAAGTCTAATTAACCATTCTGAATGCTTTTTCAGGTATATGACAATGAAGCAAAAAAAACTACTGGAAGCCCGTAATAAGTACGAAGCGAGGTTCGAACAGGTCCGGCTACAGCTGGAAAAGGTGAGATAATTAACTTATGTGAATTTGTAGGACGTTCATATACATTGTAGCCATATTTATATCTCTAGCAATTTTACTTGTGACGTCATAATAGGGGACATCTTCTATGTCGAGCTGCTACAATTCAGGGGTAGTCCGAAGAGCAATTATCAAACAAGAACGCTTTAGCTTGAACCCACGAATTGCATTTAACTATATTGAACACCCAAATATAGAAATTAATCGTCTCAGCCCAACGGCATAACCATATTTTTGTATCAGTAAGGGTTAAAGACGACAAAAACTATGGAAGGGTCAGATTGTTAATATGTACCATTGCTACCCTCAAAATTGGATGTTCTACAAAGAAGCAATAAAGCCAGTATCTTTCTAGGGGTAACGAACGGAGGAGAGGCAAGCCCCGCTCGTCCTGCTTGAACCGTATAAGAAAGTAGATGTCATTCCAAGTTTAGTATAACGAATCATTTTACAATAAGGTAACAAATACGTCGCAAGACCGACGTCGAGAAATACTTGATCGAAATATTTTTAGTTAAGCTGTCTGGAAACCCTGTCTTATGCGCTCCAGGATAGAAAAGTCTACTACTTGGAAAGAGGGGCAAGAGGCTGCTAATCTGTAGCGGAATAATGGATCTGCTACGACACATATATAGATATAAAAAAGACCTCCGCAAAAAATATTTTGGCAATAGGCCTGATGACTTATACCTGTGGCTTAACTTGTCGTGAGGGATGGGCTTATTATCGCTTCGAGCTACTTTCGCTGTCGTGTAACTTGAATCATTTGATTCCTGTTTCTAATTTTCACACGAATGGCTATTTACGCATGGTAAGTAGGCTGGTGGTTCACAGCAATAACTGATACAGTTCACAATGGGAAAGGGCGTTGGTACTTGACATTGATGTTAGTCTTGGTGTTATCGAGATCGCATAGCGAGAAATCGCTGGCTTTCGTCGAGTTACGGAGCATCAGTGACTGACAGATACCAGGAGAGGGAGGGGTAGATTGAAACTTCCGGCGGTACGTCTTTTCGGCTGCTTTAACGTGTCAGGCAAGAAAGAACTACTCTAGCTCTTAGTTTGTCTGCTTTCTTGTTTAGCTACATCGGCGCAACAATGTCTGAAGTAGAAAGCGTAGTCTGCTATGAATTTGTTACTGTACTGCCGCTTGCACCTGCGTCTATTTGAACGTATTAGGCATAGACCGCATGATCCGGCCAAATCTTTCGGATAATGAATATGGCACCCGATAAAGCAAACTTCTGGTAAAGTTTACTTAGTGTGGTATCATACACGAGACAGGAGTCACATAGGGGTTGTGGTTTGGGAAATGAATGGGATCTGGCTATGTACTTTGTAAATGGCAGTCATGAAAAATACTTTTTCTTAGTATCCGCTCGTGTGCGTGTTGCTGAGCTATGGGTGGTTTGAATTAATGCTGGTTTTAGCGGCGACGGCGACGATAGCGCGGATGCTCTTTTTGCAAGATGAACGATGAGATACTCCCAAAATACATATGCTACCACTATTTACTACTAAGGTTTGCTTAGAGGGTCTAAGGATATAGCTGGAATGCGTCAAAAAAGGGGGTGCACATAGAAACGTCGGGGGATACGGTGTGGGCCATATACCGTGGCGTCGCGAGGCCAATCCACGCCTCTCACCCATTTTTCTCCCTGTGCCCTCCCTATATACTCGATCAGCTGTCATCGTCGATGATATAAACGGGATGGCGCTCTAGTTATCAAAATTCAAAGCGGCTGTACGATTGGACTAATATTGAAATAATTATAGGCTATTACTAAAAAACAGATTGTGTTGATGTGTATATTAAATTCAATTTACTCGCGTCTTGTAAAAGGTTGGATTGATCACATAATAGTCGTTAATTTATAGTTATGAATAATTCATACTTTTTGATAAAGTTAGAAGTTTATTCTGTATGTGAAGCATATAAACAAAAGTTATTTCCTAATGGAGTGCATGTAAAATAATAAGTGATGTTTAATTGGTGTATTTTTCATGCCACACAACTCTAAAATGAGGATTTCGCGCTTGCTTCTGTTAGCAGTTTCAAACATATGTATATATACATCGTGCGTAATTAGGTAATCCACTTGAGGGTGCCACTTTTCCTTCGAACAGCAGTAGCAGCAGCCTTTAGACGTTTTACGGCCAAAAATTCGCTTCCGTCAGGACAAACGCTTTAGTACAAGCACATAAGCCTACAGGCACTGGACGCGGTTTCAGAGTGGCCACTGCTTTTTCCCGCCCACAGAAGATACAAAGAAAAAAAGGGTGGCAATAGTTGTAAGAAATGAGAGTCCACAAGGCAAACAGAGGATGGGGGATCGGCGGCATTGCGTGAAAAGCAAGCAGTGGGCCCTTAGGCCTATGAACAGATGAGCATCGCGCTTCAAGGAGAAGGGACTGACTAGCAGCGGTATCGGCGGCAGTTGAGAGACTGACGCTTGTAGTACTACCGGCGGGATGCAACGTGTTGTACCCTTGGGAGTCCGTTCCTCATGCCGTCTTTAAATCTGCGTAATCTCCTGGTGGACGCGGCAAGACTTATCTCTAGGAACGCTATACGCCTGGTGGGGTAGCCAGAAACCTTCTGCACACCCCGGCTCATAGCCCATACAAAATCGTCACAAATGCTTTCCTGTCCCCAGTTTCAAAGCGTGTAGGTTAAGATAGGATCGCCGTTCTGGGATTATCGTTACAAGCAAATTGACTAGGCTAGCAAAAGGTAATTCTAGTTTCGGCAACCTTCCACTGCATTCATTGCCATTGCTAATGTAGAGCTTCTATGATTAGCGCAGACTTTGGTTAACCATAATAATTACGTTCTCCAATGAGATAACGCAGAGTTTGAGCTAGAGTTTGAATCAATTCTACAGCGTCCGTTAGTTGTTCTCATTCCACTATTTTTAAGCCAAATACCGACACACTGCACCATCGAGATGCTCCCCTAGATCTAATTGTGGCTTGGAAATCTCTCGGGGGCTATTAACTGGTTGTTGGCTATAGATGCCCTCTGGTGTGGGCAAACTACTACTAAACGTAGCAGTGAAAATACAGAACAGATTGCCATTAGCCTGGTTGTCAGCGGTACTCTACGACAAACGCTGATAGCAGTGGACCATATTCTAGTAATAAAAATACAAAAATCAATTTTTTTCAATGGACAACGTTTCCCACTTATGCCTATAATAATATTATTGTACGCTAGGTTACCAAATATACTAGTCGGTCATGACGCGACATATTCCATTAAATGAACAAAAAAAAAAATTAAAAGATTTCATCAAGCAGTCCATTCGATCCTGGTGCTGCCGTTACCTAGCGTTGAGCATAGAACGTGTGCTAGCTTTATTATGTGAAAGAGCCCGAGCGACAATACAAGACGACTGGGGTAGGGGAGAGCGAGCATGAGTTTGTCGAAAATTCAGCGGTGCAAAGCACCGAATAGGCGAAACTACTTGTTGTATAGTAGTGCGGAAAGGCTAAATCACCCCCTAGGGTGTGAAAAGTACGAAACTTGAAACCCCACGGAGACCAAACAAGTTGAGATTGGCACGAAAATGGGTTACGAAACGCGTAAATGCGCGTGATCACCAGCAGCCTAAAATGCAACACCAGAACTTTTCGATAGAATTTTTATGGTCAATGTGAACCTCTTCTCTCTAGCTCACTTCCGGCATTTTCTAGGAAATACTGAGTTTGATACCTTGGTAGAATTCGTCAGTCTTTGATTTAAATGAAAAGTGCTATCTTTTAAATGCAGATTTGTCGCGACGTTTACGTTCGGAACCTACATCGCTACGCATTGCTTTAAAAGGCTGGTTCCCAGTACAAACCTAGCTGTGTCTGTGCCTGGTTCTGCACGCACGCGTTCGTAGATTCTGTAGGCAAACACGTCATTATTGCACTATTACTATTTTTGAAATCGCTGCCTCTTTCTTCCTAAACGTGGAACGTGCGAGTATTCGATCGGCGTGAGCGAAACGAAAAAGGGCAATGAACAGCGTCGGACATTCGCAAGCTATGTAAATCGGCCATCAGATAGATAGCATCGGGTCGGGGTCTGTTTTTTGTTTTCCTAGACCATATGTACCAGATACGCTCGTCAATTCAATAGCTCATGCCACTGGCTGCAAATGACGGGGACACGGCTAACGTCGCACGATTCCCGAGGCCGATAGAAGGCATGCCACCTCCCAAACATGGCTTTGATTCGAGCGAACGTTGCCCGTTCTCGTCCGGTAAGTTTTCTTGCCTTTGCTTTCTTGCCTGATTTTATCGTTAAGCATATCTGTCATTGATCCTGGCATCTACAGGGTACGCCAGCGCATGTGCCAAAACGACAGAAAAAACAAATGCGACAACACAAAGCTTCAGATACGTCTTAATTCGAATTTTTGCGCAATTGATTATTATATGACTTAGTAATGAACCAAGTCGCTGCACAATGCGTCAAGAGATAAACCAGCAGAGTCATTTTAGGCTTTACATAGAATCCTAGTGATTCATGTGAATGATATTCAAACATAGATTCATATTGAAATATGTATATGATGTCTCAATATGCGCCTTTCAGTAATAATACTGAATTTCAGTATTATTTCACTGAAGCCTTCTTTACTATGACTATACACACTTTGGCCCCGATAAGTAAGCGGCATTTGATGACTTCCCTATCACCCTCTACGAGCTATTTGTTGCCATTTATGTGATAGAAACAGATAAATACATTATATTCATGCTTACGGGGTAATTTATGTAAATCGTCCCGTTAGCGTTTTAAGTGCATCAGAGTTGTCATGGCACCTGGCAATCCTGGACCGATTCGCGCTCATAGCCCTTGCTTAGTTCTACGGAAACTGATCACCTTTAAGTGTTCGTTAAGAGTGTCATAGTATCAGACGTAAGTATACTATGAAGTCAAATTGGAAACCTTACATCTCATGTGTTGTTATTCACTGATTTACTTCACG